AATTCAATAGCATGGTCGCTGGCAATCTGTTTCAAACAAAAGTTTGAGCATCCTGGAGACGACGTCGCCCCAAACAAATGGACAGTCATTCTTAGCTCATGGGGCTGTTGCAGAAAGTCTCCATCCTTCCACCACAAATACCGTAGGTATTTCCTATGATCTTCCTTCACCTTGAATTGGTAGAACATCTCACGTATATCGCAACAAAATGCGATTGGTTCCAGTCTGAACCTGCAAAGTACTCCCACTAGTGTGTTAGTCAGATCTGGTCCAGAAAGAAGCTGCTTGTTGAGAGATTCCTTTCCAAATTCTGCACTGCAATCAAACACAACTCGTAACTTGTTGGGTTGTACTACCCCATGATGGGGAATGTACCATGCTTGGCCGTTCTGCTTGTCATATTCTGGTACACTTTCAGCATATCCTTTCTCCAAGAGAGCATCCATCTTTTCCGAGTATTTCTGATGATACTCAGAGTCTCTTTGAAACTTTCTCTTTAGATGACTCAATCTCCTTTCCGCCATGAATCTGTTGTTGGGAAGGTTGACGACATCTTCTTTAAAGGGAAGAGGAGTCTCGTAATGACCATCATCTGTGATATGGACATTCTCCGACATGATTCTCATAAATCTTGTATCATGTTGCGAAAATGGTACCTCACTTCTGCTCTCTGAGAAATCTCTTTCCATCAGCTTCAGCACAGACGAAGGGCTGATCTCTTCTTTGATTGTAACGTTGTGAGTGAACGTTACTCTCTTCTTGATGGACATGTCTCTTTCAGCTAGTTCAGCGGGTATTTCACGTGCTGTCAAGCGATGACTGTGGCCAACGTGATCATCGGGGTTGTAGTGCTGTTCATCTTGACTTGTAACACCCACTATGCTCCATCCCAAGTCAGTTTTCATTCCAAATGGACCGTCATCGTCTTGGGAGGGAATCACATCTCGAGGAGTCAGAGCTCTTCCACAATCATAGCCGATCAACAATCCTATTTCACAGTGCTTCAGAGGCAGAAGTTGGTCAGCAATTGGAACCAAATGTGGGAAAGAGCGAGCTACTTCAGGAGTGGGGATGTGTTCTCTGTTGGCTGGCATTATGTCTCTAGTGTATGCAGCTGGAAGGTGTATCACCTTTTCACTGTTAAAGGCTCGAGCTGTGAGTCCTTTAATCTTCTCACTTGGAATCCTTTCGTTCTTGGTCGACATTGTAGACAGAAGAAGGTTAACCCTCAGTCCATGAAGTCCTAAGGCATCCTTTGTAGAATTCAATATGAAGGTGGTATCCGATTGAGTATCTAATAGTGCGTATACGAGCCTCTCTTCCTTCATATTCTCATGAGACAGCCAGACTGGCACGATTGCCGCGCTTTTCACATAACTTGTGGCGTTAGAATTAACAAGTGTATGTGAATTTGAAGATTGTATTTCTTCCTGGTTCGATGTCCTTTCCCTTTCTTCTGAAGGTCTTCTGTCAAAGTGTAGTGGCGTAGGATGACGCTTGTTGCACTCTCTGCATGTGCTTCTCACTCGACATTTTTTGGTCAGATGACCTCTCTTGAGACACCCGTAACACAAGCCCTTTTCTCTTATGAACTTCTTCCTCTCGGACATAGGCTGATTGACAAAGGCTTGACAATCCTCAAGGTGATGATGATTTCTACAGAATATACAGAATGATTTCCGTTCTGGCCTCTTTGTCTCATCTTGGATGGAGCTGGTTCTCATAGTTAACGCTCTCATGGATTTTCCTCTGTCCTGTTTCGGTTTGTCCTCCTTCAGGCTACCAATGGACGTGATTGGGTCACATGCAATGTTACTCTCTTCCTCAATGAATGATGAGAAGGTACCGAATGAAGGAAATGTACCATGTGACCTCCTATGCTCATAGACTCGTCGGCTCCATTTAGTAACAAGCCAATCGGGAAGTTTGGATAGGAGTTTCCTATTCTCACGTTCGTCATCTAACTGTCGGAGGTTGCCGATCTTTTCTATTGCTGTTTGGCATTGTCGTAGGTAATCAGAGAATCTACGCAGTCCTCTGGAATCCCTTGTAGGTATCTTTGGCCAGTTATCCAGTCGGTCACGAAATGCATTCGAAATGATGAATGGATCACCATATCTCTGTTCTAGTTCACTCGTAGCTCGATTGTATGCCATATCATTGTGTATCAGAGAAAATCCTTGCACGAGTTCGAGAGGTGGGCCACGTAGATACTTCTTTAAGTAGAAGAATCGATCCCTTGCAGGAATACCTTGATGTTCCATTAAGATGTCGTAGGCCTGTTTCCAACTAGGGTATTGCAGTGGATCCCCAGAAAAGATATCTGGTTCTGGCAGTGGCAAGCGACTAATCTGTAGCTGAGTCAGCAAATTTAACAAGGGTTCTTTAGTCGGCATGGCTGTAGTCGGAACATCTTCAGTTGGCACATCTTTGGTCGGCACATCTTTAGTCGGCACATCATCCTGGCTTTCAAACGAGCATTCATTCACCCATTTTTGACAGGATGATAGTCTTTTCGATGAAACTTTAGATTTTCTTGACGATTCTTGTTCGAGGAGGTGTTCTTGTACTCCTTTCATCAGCTCTGAGTGTTCTTGTTCGATGTTGTCGAGCCTTTCATGGCTGTCATCGTCGATTCCTGCCAACTCCAATAGAATCTGAAGGTCTTCTTGAGCGGATATGGCGTTGTCCATCACCTGCTGCAGAGCGTCCCTACCTTGTCGAATAACTTTGACATCACTGATGTCGCTCAAGGTAGCTCTTAACTTATTCGACGCTCTACGCCAAGCACTAATGGATCACTAATGAAGTGAAGTTTTCACTGAAGAAACAGTCAATGAAAAGTCGTAGTAGGGTTGACTTGCTAATTTATTCTATGTCAACTAATTCCATCACACTTGCTCCTTGAAAACTGTATGAACAAAACATGATAAAGAAAAAGAACAGATTATAAGTAATTGTTCATACAGGCATTTTCGAATACATGTGTATAAATAATATCATCAGTTCGCCTATTAAATGCAGTGATTAATAACAAATGAATTTCTTCTCTTTGTCTCTTATCATTTGTGTATATGCAATTATCTATAAACAATACCTTCACTCAAGTCACGTGACCAATATTCGTGGTAGATAGTTTGAATCACAAAGACTTATTAGCATAACGCATATCAATGACTGCGTCCTTCTTATAGCGGACACGTCATTCGTATCGTTAATATCGTATACCTATTTACGTGCATACAATTAACATTGCCTTACGTAGCACCCTAGCTTACACTCTATATCGTATATATCGTATACCTGTTTTACGTGCATCTAATTTGCATATATATAACGTCCACTACAGCCGTATACGGTATCATACGTGTCCGTGCATACACTAATACTACACACACCATTCATTATCACTTAAGCATATTAGATTACATTCATATCATCATTTCTCATTATTTATACTATTTATACTCGTTATACATTAATATATCGAATTAACGAACCTTCTTGCCTCCTTATTGTTGCAAACGGGTTGGCTTCGTATCAATAACAGGTGTAATTTAGGACAAGATTTCGGTGCGAACATCCAATTCGTTGCTACTGCTATGTCGGAATTAGGAAAGCGTAGATGGCGCTATTTCAGCCCATGACGTAAGTCAGAATACTCCTTTTTGTCAGATAAACTAACTCTCATAAACGATCACATTAACAGTACATGTATTGCAAGGTTCTGGAATCATCAAAATGATAAGAAATTTTGCCAAGTCTTGGTAAAGTTACAAACACTGTACTCAGAAAGATGTATATGGGACTACACAAACATGTGGTGTAAAAATCCACCCTGGATTTTTACGATGTTACATGACATATTTAGAATATGAAGGCATTTAAAGAGCCATGCTTTTTAGGGAACATGTCTTATCTGATGTTCTTCCACACTTGCATAATAAGAATGATAACGCTCACAAATTATTTTTCACCTCTTCCCAGAACTCAACCTTCTCTTTAAAGGCTTGTTCAGATATGACGTGGTAAACCACTGCCCAAAAAACAAAAACACGCCACTTATATTTTACATGTAAACAAATGGCAACTGTGCACAACAAAAATCTTGCATGTATTCGCTGAGCTCTTAGTTATAAGATACATGAATGTGATACGTATTTATGTCACTGTGAAGGAAAGTCGCTACAGTTTTACCACATCATTTCTAAACGAGGCCTTGCAGTTGTGTTTATTATAAAGTCATAGTGTACATGTATGACCATCAGATTTCAAAATATACTGGTAATTGCATTGATCATGTATCAAGATTTTTGAAAATATCCCAAATCATTAATCATTGCTAAAATTAGAAACAGGGGTAATTCTGAAGAAATTAACTAATAGTTGGAATGATTTTCTTTTTTTCTTTCTGATAGTTTTGTATGTTTGCTTCTGCTTCCTTTCATCTGTTTTCTGGTGGTGATGAGACAGTATTCAAGCGTTGGTTTGGTATAGACTTGGCTGGTATATCGGTAGGAATCTTAGGCTGCTATCTACCAGGGATATACTATGCTTATTATTGTTTCAAGGTAAGTGAATAATTTAGGAAATTATCAGGACAATGTTTCATGTTTCTAAATTATCCTCTAAACCAGTATTATACAATATGTAGGACAATTTCATCTTTTCATTGATTCTGTCATAATAATTCTTCCAAGTGTATATTGTGTAGCATGTTTTATCTTCAATCAGTCAATCACTCAATTAATTTTGGTTCATTAGAAATTAGAATAGAAATACAATGCATTAGTCTAAGGACCAATAATGCAATGCTTAGAATAATATGGAAATAAAAGAAAACATATATATATTGATAAGGGATTTAAGTGATTTTTTTTTGGTTATTGTCCTCTCAGTCCAGAACCTAAGGGTAATCAACATACCATTTTCATCCAATTTTACAGTTTTGGAGGAATGTGTATCTAGTCCTGGCAACGTCTCTCATCCTCGTTACAATCATGGCGCAGATACATCCACGATTCCTATCAGCTCAATGGGCCAATCGTCGGATTATGCTCTTCTGTGCCATGGTCGGGTTTGGCATAGCTCCCACAATACATTGGGTCTTTCTTTATGGGGGTGTTAATACCCCTATAGTGAAGGTAAGTAATACAGAGATGACATTTTTTCAGGACTTTGCCCAATTTTAGGCCTCGTCACCTCTCTTTTCACCTTTTTATTTTTTATTTTTCATGCTTCATAGTATACAGAATGTATAAGTTCCTTTATGTTTTCTCTTTTAAGGCTAAATAAGTCAAACCTTTGCTATTCTAATAGAAGACACAGCATGTCAGTGGTTTGATTTATATGCTGTGGCACTCGGCCCCCCCCCCCCCCACACTCAGTGTTAGTTAGGGTACGCATATGCATGTTCCCTCCTTTTGAAAACACCCCCTAAGTCCTGTGTGTAAAACAGGCTTTTTTGTACTACGAGCCGGACTTTGGTGCGTGAAAAGTACCCCTTTATCAGACATTTTGGTAACACGCATGGTATCCCTCCGATCACAGAGTGGGGGGCCGGGCTGTGGCAACGGTTGCTGCAGACTTTATGTTGTCAAAGATAGGGTAATATGGTTGTGATTGGGTTGAGTTATTAAAGATTAGGGTTAGGGTTAGGTATAGCTTTGGTCCAGGGTTGAAGTTATTAAGTTTAGGGTATCGACTGCAGATCAAATGTTGCCTTAGAACACATGGTCCCATATGTGCAAGTATTGTGAATGTGAATCCCATTTTCTTTTGTTTACCGATACATGTTACTGATGAAAATATACCACCTACATGTATTATCCAATAAACAATTCAGATTTACTCACAGAATGTGTCGCTCAAAATGAAATTCCTTTAATGAAACCATGTCCATACACTGGTGCCCTTAGGTAAGTCATTAATCTTCATTTCCAAGGCCCTCATAGCGGACTTATAGCTGTCGGTGGTTGCTTACTTACACACATACATATGTAAACAAAAAAAACAACCAACCACCATTAATTCAATCCTTTCATTCTTTGTTTTCTCTTTACGTGCAGCTTATATTACCCAGGGTCATTGTACTATATCTCATGGGATTCACAGCACTCATATTCTATGCAACTATGTTTCCTGAGGTGTGTTGTCCAGGTGAGTGTGTGGAAAGAAGAATAAAACTTGTTCTGCTTTTTATCTCTTGTAGGTGCTATAAACTGTGATACTTACTTGTAGTATTGAACTTTCCTAAGGAATACTGAATCTTTCAACAAAATACAGTGAACTCTGCATAAGTTGAATCCGTTAGGACTGCAACAAAATAATTAAACTAATACATGTACTAAGTTCGACTGAAGAAGTGTAATAGCATAACATTTGCATAGTTTGGTCCAGAACATTGATTCTACTTAATACCGGTAGGCAAAATTTGACTTGTGCGACTTTGAGTTATGCAGAATTTCATGAAGTTACCAGTAACCTAGTTTTAATGGTTTTGTGTGTGATAACTAGTGCATATTTAAGAGTTATCATGAACTCCTTGAACTCCTTGTTAGTCATCAAAAATTATTTTGGTATGAAATTGTTAGATTATTTGGGGTATTTACTCTAATACAAATGGGACATAACTAAAAGAAGAGAGAACTTAGACAAATATTCTGTCTGAATTGTGACTGTACCCCATTATAGGGGGGGGGGGGGGGGGAATTGAGTCTTCAACATAGTTTTCAACCTGATTTGATTTTGACCCCCAGAAGTTTATCTGACATAGCTTTGACATATGTACACAATCAGGATTCTATCCGATTGAATACCAGTTTGAATATACACTTTATCCCAGAGTCTTGTTTAGATATGACGCAGCGAATCCGCACCATTTTTTTTATGCTGATGTAAACTGTAACACGTGTCACATTTTTATAACACAGAGTTCAGTGAAAATGCACAAGACCTTTGTTGTGCACAGTTGCCATTCATTCACACATTAAAAAAAGCCCTAAGGCTTCTTGAACCCACGCCATGAAGTAAGAATACATGTTTGACTGGTTGTACTTCCCACAGGAATAATGAAAATAAATTGTCCTTGTGTTTTTTTTACAGGTAGATTGGACTACGTTGGAAGCAGCCATCAGCTGTGGCATGTTTTAGTTGTCATAGCATTCCTATGGTGGCATCAAACAGGTGTTATCATGATGGAGTTTGTACACAACTCAGACCCGTGCAGAAATGCAGCGCAAGAATCACTACTCAACCAGAATATTGTTCTAGAAACATGATGTTCATGTTTAAGTCATTTAAGTCATGTAAGCAATATCTGTAAATGTTTAAACTAATTTTGAGTTCTGGTAACGGAATTGTGTTTTGATTGAAAATGGCTCAAAGTGAAATGATCTGTTGCAACCAGTACATTTTTTTTTTTTTTTTTTTTTTTTTGTAATTAAAAAAAGAAAGAAGTATTTTGTGTGTGTGTGTATGCCATTTCCAATGGTAAAATGCCAATTCTGTCCTGTAAAGTATCCTACAAGCATCTCACATAGGCAATTTGGGGATGTCCATTGGTTCATCGAACACACCAGTCGTGACGAAATCATGCATATTCAACCAATGATCCTTAAAAAAAAATTTCCTGAATGTAGGAACTGTACGAGGCATTGCTGCGCATAAAAGTCCGTGTTTATATTTAAGAATACAACTTTTGTCAGTAAAATACAACTTTGGGGATTAAAGAATACAGTTTTTGAACTCCAGAGGTTGGCAGGTCTGGGTTAGGTATAGTGTTTTGTCCAGTGTTGAAGTAAGAAGTTTGGTTAGTGTAAGATTTTGACTGCAGAGCAGTACAGTTGTCGTAGGAGCATGTGTCATACAACCCAAAGTGATCAATTATAGTGGCAGAGATTGGGGTGTTTGAACCAGTAATATATATTGAAGCACTCCAACACTCGACCGATCCAGCCCCCATATATACAGCTCATGCACACTCACTGTCTGTCCCCACAGCAATCATAACTCTCTGATGGAAAGTATGATTAATGATTCTATTTCTCTCCAGGTGTGTCCATCATACAAAATCTTAAGTAATTGTCAACACATTTATCATACTCTGAAAACAATAATCATGAATCAAATTCTAATTACCATTTAAGCTGGATTATCAATCATTTTTCTTAAGCATCTCAGAATCGTATCCTCTGATTGTGGACAAATGAACAAGGGTGTCTCCGAATGAGCTTTCTGATGTCCTTTCTTCTTTTCTTCATATCTAGGCACCAGAGTAGTAATGCTTCGTACTACTGATCTAGGCACCAGAGTAGTAATGCTTCGTACTACTGTATGAATGGGTGTTGTCCTCTCTGGCTATGATTCATGACTCTACAGAAATGTCTTTTGACGTCATATTGGCGATTGCTATTGTAGGAGCACAGGATGCAAGTGTGAAATCTTTGAATGTGGTCTCTCAGGTCCCTCAAAGTCGAGAAATGGCGAAGACATTGCGTAGATCCCAACCAAATATCACGTTTTATACTTGCTTTGGGCATGATGTACAAGTCAGATATTCCCTCAAAAGGAAGAAGAGGAAGAAACAATAGAAAACATAATACTTATGTGGAAATGAGGTAGGCAGCATCAGCAATAAATCAACTACAATTCACTAAAAATGAGAAGGTGGCTTTTGTAGGTGTCTGCTATGTCCTGGCAGCATCTCATTGCTGGTTTATTGTGGTGTTGCTTGGTCATGCTTCTGGTCCAGAGACAATTCAGGCTTGGACGAAGCTGCCACATTGGAGTAATGTTGTCTGGGATTCTTTTCCGTCCCCATTTCTCTATTTGCAGCATCGTTTGTATCCCTATCAAGTATCAAGCTTGTGAACTTCGCCCAGAGTGTCCTTCTTTTTTCACCGTACATCATTATCTATTGAACGCCTAATGCGTGTGTTATCTGAAACCGGGGACTCCTCTTTGTGACTTCCCATTGCGCCTTTGGCATCATAACCCTCTCTTTCTTACAAACGCTCTTGCACGTGTTGTCTGATATAGGTGCCTTTTCTTCATTACTTTTTTTACTAACGGCCAATGCGCCATGACCCTCGTTTTCTAAAGAACGCACTGTAGTACGCCTGTTGTGTACGATCAACACCTCCTCTTGACTTTTCATAGCAGCCTGTGCGTCTTGGCCTCCACTATGCACTGTGTGTGTGTTGTATGATAACATCTCTTGATCCCACCTTCTCCTCAAGCTAGTCAGTTCTTCATAGCTTTTGTTATCTTTCATCGCAAACTGGGTGCTTTGTGAGAAAGGGGTAGAAAATGTCTTTCTTTCTATAGTTTATTTGATTTTTTGTATCAAATGTTACCTCAATTGCCAATTCAAAGAATATCACCTATGCAATCCCATATATTTGAAATAATATTGCCAGTATTGATAGAAAATTGATAGAAAATGCCAATGAAGTAAGTAAGAAATATATCCGGCTGGAGAATTCACAATTGTTGCTGTATTCTACCAGTATATTTTATCTTTTCTGTTCCAATAGGTGAATTTTGATGTATAATTTCTTAAAGGATACTACTCATTGTTCCAGCAATGGTTAATTCAAAACTCAATAGGGGAAACCATGAAGTAAGAGAAACCATAATGACTACCAATATAGGTTTTCTCAAACAGGATTTAAAAAAATATTACATGACTCTATTTTCTAGTGCTGCTCTGAAGCTAGTTTTGACTTTGCTACTAGATGTGCTCAGCGATTCTATCCATTACAACCAATATACTGGTTTACTAACATCCAATTTGTATGCATAATTTTTAAACAAATGTTGTTCTTGACAACATGAGAGCTTACCAAGGCTTGTCTGACCTGTTTGCAAGTAATGTTTGCAGACTGGATTCTAAGTACCATAAATATCTGTGTATAAGACCCACCTGTGTATAAGACACACGCCTATTTTGGGGGCCAAGAAAGAAAAAAAAATCATTAATTTTTTTATTTTTGTTTAAATTGCCCGACCCCGTAAGCAGCAAGCCAGGTCCATGTTAAAAAACCCAAGCGGGAAGGATCTTCATTTTACTGCGAGGTGCAGTTGGAGGCGCCAATTTTTGCTTGTGAACTTGTCACAAATAATAATAACAATGTAAGATATCTGAATAATGAACTTGTCACAAATAATAGTGCAATGAAGTTATCAGAATAATGAACTTGTCACAAATAATAGTGCAATGAAGTTATCTGAATAATGAACTTGTCACAAATAATAGCAAAAATGAAGTTATCAGAATAATGAACATTTGTTTTTAAAGTAGATAATCATTGATTTTAAAAACTAACTTTATTGTCATTATTGCAAAGTTGAAACTTTGATTCGACAAGGTTATCAAAATTCAATGCTTGGAAACATTCAAAGTAATGATTATTATAAATTACAAAACGCTTAAATACAGCCCCGGCATAGCACCTGAAGAGTTCACCGAACGCTGCTGAGATGTGTGAGATCACAGTATGGACATAATTTGCACTAGCAGACGATGTCCCATGACATCTCACACATTTTCTCTTGAGTTCTTTCTCTTACTTCACTACCGTCAGGCTAAATGTATAATCTACTGCCTCACTCTAAACCCCCCGCATGGTTTTATTTTGATGACAAATGCACCGATACAAAAATAAAGGAATCTGTCGCTTGTAAACAAAATAAGACGCCATTGTATATTCAGCTGTACACACCGCGGTATGTTCGGCGCTTCAAGAGGGAACAAATGCCGTCCTTAATATCATTCCGGGGGGTTTTCGATTTGAAAGTCTGGTTTCTTTGATTGTTAATTAACCCCTATCCTGTGTATTTGCAAGCGAAAGATTTTAGTTATCAGAATCGGGTCATATCCCCTTTTAAATGGTTTGACATGCCGTTACATTTATATACACTAAAATTATTATAATTTGACAAATAATAGCTTTGCAATTATGTTCATTCTTTATGGGATGTCGTCTGCTTGGGCAGTATTGGTCCATATAGTGACGTCATTAAAACATTGTTATTTTTCCGGCGAATCTCTCGTATATCCCAGCTGCTATGGAGGTGGTTGTATTTGTATTTTTATAAATCACCCGATATGAAGTTGACCTAAAACTTGTACGATGGCCATCTGTTAGCTTACCAGTCTCTAGTGATACATTAGTTGACATATTTGTGATTTTCTTTGAATTTCACCTTTAAAACTAAAGATGACAGACAAATTTTCCTTTAAGTCCAAACAGAAATCCGGACATCCAGGTAGTGTTATTCTAGTTGCCGAGTGGTATGACTGAGCTGGGGGACATTGCCAGGCACAGTGCCAGGTGAAGGGACATAAATCAACATTTAAAAAAAATAAAATAAAGAAATAAAAACTTGTTCCTGTGTATAAGACGCACCCCCGGCTTTCGATTTAAAAAAAAAAAAAAAAAAAAAATTGCGGAAAAGGGTATTGTAATTCATTCATTTTTAAGAGGTTAATGGAAAACATCATCACTAGATCCTCAGGAAAGAAACATGTATCAATTTGAATAATGATAGTAAACTGGTCTATTGACATGCCCTTTTGCTTCTGCCTCCTTTACATTTTAAAAGAGCAAATCACCCTTAGCCTGTTTCACTGTATTTATTATTGCCATCTATCACTCGCAACCAATCAAAAAATGTCTTTCCAGAGAACAATGTAATACGTTTCTTCCGAACTCTAAATATGTTATGAAATGAAGTGAATAATGAATGATCTTTTGATTTTCACATTACCTACATACACTTCACCGCCATATTCATAACCATGATGATGTACTTGTGTGTGAAAAAATAATTCTTTGAATCAAAGATTCACAGCCTTGTTAAACATATTATTTACCTTTAAAAAATGTTTGTTGATTCAGACAAAAGTGTGTAAAACTATTTATAATTTTTAGGAAACAACTGTAAAAAAACGTCAATCATTGAGTGTGTTATAAGATAAACCTACCTACTTTTCTTTGATGTGTTAGACATTTGATGTGAGTACTGTATATATTTGTGATGTTTTATTGTCTATGCTTTGTGTCTGTGTTAGAAATATTTGACAGTCTTTTGATGGTTATCTTGGTGTCCATATCTCTTTTGCCTTTGTGTAATCTCATTGAATGTTATGAATTATCCTGCAATAGATATGGTGGCTGAACCTCCTAGTCAATCAACTCAAATACTATTGACTTGTACTAAGCTTTTTTCTACCAATGGTACTATCATTTTACACAAATAGTGCACATACAGTTGA